TCCCCCCCATTGGGTACCGTGTGCTACCACCAAAACTTCTTATTTAAACCACCAAACTTTTATTTATCAACTGAGGAATTTAACCAACACACATACTTTTTTTTTAACAGAACCCCCAGCAAAGAGCAAGGTAACTCCAGAGGCAGGCCACCGGTACCATCCCCTAATAATCACCGGACGTTGTACCCTCAAAACAAGGGTGGGTAGGACTGCCCCACTCCCGGACCACCAAGAAGGAAGCTTCACGGCAAGTGAAGACAAATCTTCCGTTCTCTGGTGGTCCTGGGAGTGGGGCAGTCCTTGACTCCTTACTTTTGGGACATAAAAGAGCAGTACTCCCCAGGGTGGGTCTGACAGCTTCCAGTTCTTACAGGGCATGCTGAAGAACTACCAAACGTGGCCTCTGTTGAAGCCATATTATCGATTCGGTAGTGTTTGGTAAAGGAATGGGTAGATTTCCAAGTGGCTGCCTTGCAAATGATTTCTAGGGATGGGAACACCCGATACACCGCCGACATGGACGCCCCCTGTAAAGAGTGGGCAGTGATCCCCTTGGGTGGCACCAGACCCTGTGCATTATAGGCCTCAATACCCCCCTGATCCATCTACTTAAGGTGGATGTAGAAATACCGTTACCTAAAGCCGACTTCCTAAATGACACAAACAGTGACTCATTTTGCCTCCACCCTTTGGTCCTGTCCAGGTAATGCTATGCATGTCCAGGAGATGCCAGACCTTTTCCTTCTCGTGTTTGGGGTCCTGGCAAAAGGAAGGAAGCACAATGTCCTCCGACCTATGAAAGGTCAAGTTCACTTTAGGTATAAATGCCGGGTCCGGGTGAAGTACCACCCTATTATTATGAAAGGTACAAAGCTCCCTGTTAATGGACAGTGCCTTTAGCTCTGAGACCTAACGTGCAGAGGTAATCCCCACCAGGAAAACCATCTTAAAGGTAAATTCTTTTAACAGGCAAGAGGCCATTGGTTCAAAAGGTTCCTTACACAGGGCTCTCAACACTGTATTCAGATTCCACGTGGGAAACCTATGGACCTGAGGTGGGTTAATAAGGGAAGTACCCCTCAAGAACAGGCCTTTCAACAGACCCTGTTGTAGGAAGGCTAGAATATCCCCAACCTGGGTCTTTAGTGGGTCAGACCCCCTATCTTTACACCAGGAATGGATCACCTGCCATGTCCTATTATAGACTCTATTTGTAGACCACTTTCTGGAGGCTAACAGTGTGGTAACCACCCTGTTACCATGGCTTCTAGTTGCTGCCTTTTAATCTCCAAGCTGTTAGTTTCAACATGTCTGGTCTTGGGTGTGCTGTCGCGCCCTGCGTCAATAGGTCCCATCTTAGTGGAAGATGCCACAGGTCCCTTATAGAGAACCTCAACAGATCTTGGAACCACGCCCTCCTTGGCCAGAAGGGTGCAATTAGGATCAACTCTGCTTTCTGATCTATCATGATCTGAATCATCTTTGGAATGAGCAGGAAGGGTGGAAAGGCATATAGTAGGACCCTTGGCCATGTTAGACTCAGAGCGTCCATTCCTATTGCTTCCAGATTTCTTGATTTTGACATAAACTTTCTTATTTGGCGGTTTTGTTGTGTTGCGAAGGGATCCACCTCTGCTTTCTCGAACTTCTTGCTTATCTGTTGAAACACTTCCCTGTGCAACATCCACTCTGACTGATCCACCATCTGTCAACTCAGCCAGTCCACCAAGATATTCTCCCGACTGGCTACATGGACAGCCTTCAGCGACAGAACATGTGATTCTTCCCATTCCATCACCCGCGTCGCTTCCTGGTGTAGCCTCTTGAAGCGTGTGCTTCCCTTTTTGTTGATGTAAGCCTTCGCCATCATATTGTCCGCCTGAATTAGAACATGATGGCCTGCTAATTGTCTCTGGAAGTGGACTAATGCTAACTTTATTGCTCTCAGTTCCAGGAAATTGATGTTCCCGGCCATTTCCTTCACTGACCAGGTTCCCTGTGCCATGTTTCCTAAAGTGTGTGCTCCCCAACCAAACAGGCTTGCATCTGTGGTAACCACCATTCTCTTGGGGTCCCTGAGTGGCATCCCCTCGGCAAAATGGGTAGAGTCCAGCCACCACTGCAGTTCTTGTCTCACAGATTATGGTAATTCCACTTTCTGGACCCTCTTGTGTGCTATCTCCTCCTGGTACTGAATAAGAAATCTTTGTAAAGGGAGTGTGTGGAACCTAGCCCATGGTACTACATCCTGGCATGTAACCAACATCCCCAGGAGACAAGCCAGGGACATAACCTCTGTTCTTGTTGAGTTCAGAACCTGATTCACCAACTGTAGGATTTTCTGTTGCCTTTCCTGAGACAGGAAAACCCTGTCCTTCGCTGAATGTATCAATACCCCCAGATGGGCTATTGATTGAGTTGGTTCCAAGGCACTCTTCTCCACGTTTATCACAAAACCATGGTTCTTGAGCCACCTGCATTGTCAGAGCTAGATGTTGACGCGCCTGATTATAAAAGATTGCCTTTATCAGGATGTCATCAATATATGGGAACAGTGACACTCCCTTCATCCTCAAGAAAGCTATTAGCGTCACCCAGGGGTCATTTCCTAGAAAAAGAGGTGCAGGCGCTCATTAGCATAACTCATTTGCATAGCTTATTTGCATATGCCACACCCCCTGACATCACTGGAAGTGTGTCAGAAGGCAGCACCCACTGCTCAGGCTCCACTGGACTGTTTTGGATTGCTAGCTATGGGGGGGGGTCCCACACAGATCTGCCCTCACAGAGGAGGGAGATTGTTTTGGATTGCTATCTATCTGTTTTGGATTGCTATCAAGGGGGGGCTCTGCAACTTACCTGGCTGCTTCTTGCTCCTCGTGGCCCGGGGCTGCTGGGAGCAGGGGGCGGGGCTTGTTGCATGTGCCCGCCCCCTGGGCTCTTTACTGCCGGAGCTCCGCTCCTGTGCGCTCCTGCAGGAAACGACCCCTGGCGTCACCAGAACTTTGGTGAAGACCCTCAGAGATGATTTCAGGCCAAATGGGAGGGCTCAATATTGAAAATGTCTTCCATGATACGCAAAGTAGAGAAACTTGTGATGGGTTTCCCGGATCAGGATGTGCAAGTAGGCCTCTGAAAGGTCTATGGAGACCATGAAGTCCCCTGGTTGAATGGATGTGAGGATAGATCGCAGTGTTTCCATCTTGAGTTTTCTTGTCTTTATATATTTATTCAGCCACTTGAGATCTAGTATGACTGACATCCCCATTCTTCTTGGGTACCATGAAGAAGACAGAGTATGCTCCTTGTGACTTCTCCCAGTCTGGGACCCTTTCTATGGCCCCAATGTCGAGGAGATATTGGATAGCCTTCTTGAGTAGGTTATGTTTGTCTATTGAGCGATTCTTTGGCAGTTCCAGAAAATGACGAGGTGGGGAGGTTTTGAATTCCAGGGAATAGCCGTGGGTCACCATCTCCAGGACCCATTTGTCCTTGACTGACTGGTGCCACTGATGTGAAAACTGCTGAAGACAGCCCCCCCACTCCTCTTGTGATTAAACTCTTGGCATAGTCATGCCGAGGTTCCCTTCTTGGGACCCTTTGGATTCTGTGTGCGTGCATGTGTGCCTCTTGTCTCTCTGCCTGGTTCTTCTCCCAGTGCCAAAATAGCAGGAACTGAAGCTCTTCCCTTACCCTTGAAGGGGTGTGAGCCGGTGAGCTCTCCTAACTTCAAAGGCTCCACTCTGCTGAAAGTTGCCAAACATGTGTGAGCCATTTCTTTCAGGCATGTCAGGCTCTCTTCTTGAGATGCTAATCTCTCCTAGTGCTCTGGCCTTTCTGGCTCCCCCCTCAAAGTTTGTAACCCTCTAAGGTCACTTCAACATTAACTATTATTTGAAGCATGGAGGGTACAACCAACTCCAGGCCTGTTTCTTCATATGAATGTAACTGGAGGAAGGCCCAGATTTAGACTCACCCTTGCAGAAGACCACAAAAGATATCGGTAAACAAGAACTTCTACTAATTCTCTTGCCTGCATGCAGCAAGTTCACCCTTTACAGCTCACAAAGAACCAGTTTTTCTAGGACTTCCTCCTCTGTTTCAGCCTGGCTGCTGCCCCTCAAGGAAGCAAAGCAGAAGAACATCTGGGGTGCCCTCAGCCCTGGCCTCAACACATGGGCTCCTCCTTGGGGAAGCTGCACAGAAAGCGTGTGCCAAAGTCACAAAAGAAGGCCTCAAACACTCCCACAGGACACACTTTTTGCATGAAGACAGTCCAGCCCAGTTCCCCAAAAAAGAGAAGGGAAGGAGTCCCCCCCCCCCCCCCCACAGCAAAGGAAGAAAATATTTGTCAGAGGGAAGCTAGAAGGGAGTCCAAGGTCACAGCAGTGTCCTGGTGTGGATGTTTGCCCCCTCCCCATCTCATTTCTTATTATTTATTTATTTGATTTGTTTATACCCTGCCTTTCTCCCCAATGGGAACCCAAAGCAGCTTCCATCCTTCTCCCCTAATCCATTTTATCCTCACAAAAACCCTGTGAGGTAGGCTAGGCTGACACAGTGTGACTGGCCCCAGGTCACCCGGGGATCTTCCATGGCACAAATCGGGATTCAGACTTGGGTCTTCCAGATACTAGTCTGACACTCTTAACCGCTACACCACACTGGCTCAGTGATTCTGGAACTACAGGAAAAAAGAATATGAGATAAATGTGGCTTCTATCAGATCACTTTCAATTCTCCGAGTGAAAGCACTTCTCCTCCTCCAGCCAAAGAACATGGACACCACTGTTGCCTCAGGTGCTATTGTAGAGAATGGACACATTTCTTTCAGCCAGTGCTGACTGGACTCAAATAGGTTTTGTGATACTTTGAAATGCTGCAAACCCCCTCAAAACCTGCTGGAGAGGAAGACATGCATGCACGCTGCTAGCCACAGCCCCCCTGAAGACCCCCCTCCCTCCTCCATAGTCCATGATGTTCACCAAGCAAGTACTGACCAGGGACTGGAGGATGGCATGGTTGGTGGCATTCATGCAGGAATCCAGAGGGAAAGCACAGTCTCCTTGGCAGTAGAAGGCCGAGTAGCCTTGGGGGGCAATCACCCAGTTCTGAAAGGACAAGACACAGGAGCTTCAGCAGACTCAGGCCCCTTCCTTACACCAGGCAGCTTCAGCTTACCAACTCACGAGGAGAGAGGCCCATGCTGGAAGAAGAAGAAGAAGAATGTGCCACTGAATCGCAACCGACTCACGGCAGCCCCAATGACGGGGTGTACAAGGCAGGAGGATGAGCAGAGGTGGTTTGCCATTGCCTGCCTCTGCATAGCAACCCTGGAGCTCCTTGGTGGTCTCCCATCCAAGTACTGACCTGTGTTCCCTCTAAGCTGAGTTGGTGTGAGCTAGCTCAGTTTTTTAGCCTCCGGCTCACACATTTTTGTCTCAGCTCAGGAAAGATGGCTCCAGAGCAAACTAATTTATGCAGCAGCCAAATCGCTCCCTCACAACTTTAATGCCAGTAGCTCACAAAGTAGAATTCTTGCTCACAAGACTCCACAGCTTAGAGGGAGCCTTGGTACTGACCATGGCTGACCCTGCTTAGCTTCCAAACTCTAACAGGACTGGTCAAGACTGGGCTATTAGGCTGCTACTAATCAAGTGCTGTCAAGTCAGAACCGTGGAGTGTTCAAGGCAGGAGATGAGCAGAGTTGGCCTGCGATTCCACATTGCAACCCTCGATTTCCTTGGTGTTCTCCCATCCAAGTGCTGACCATGGCTGACCCTGCTTAGCTCCGGAACCCTGAGGAGACCAGGCCACCAGCTCATGAAACGAGGCTCACACCAGGGAGCTATGAAAACTACCCTTCCTGCATTTTTGAGTCTATCAGTTCATGTTTCCCTTTCAAACAAGTGATTAAAAACATTCTAAATAATTGGGATTCTTTAACTACAAGTGGCCCAAATTCCTACGCACTGTTTTCCCAATCTGAAAGGGATCCATGTCATCCACTGGGAACCTGTCATGCTGGGGTTCCGATCAGAATCTGGTCTCCATGCAAAAAACCCTGGGCCTCTCATCTAGCATGGCCTTCATGCAGAGATGGAGCAGGCAGCCTCCTCTGCTGATGGCGTTACTTTGAACCTAAGAGGAGTTTCTAATTAAATTAAATTTACTGCTTGTGGTGCATCATTTTGGAACGGCATCATTTTGGAATTGCTGCTTTAACATCTGCCAAGCAACCGGAATTAATATATTGCACATGAATCTGCCTTGAGCTTTTGGGAGAAAGAGAGAGAGACCCAAGAGGAAAAGGGAAACTTTGGATTCTTGCTTTTCCATTTTCCCGGTGATTAATGCAACTGCTGAAGAAAGAAGAGCACCTCTTCAAAAATTACCAGCCATCCAAGGTCTTGAAAGCTGACGTACAACTCCTGTCTCCTGCACACGTGTTTCCCTTCAGAAGGATGAACGTCATCTGGGGTGGGAGGAAGGGTTAAAGAGCAGTGTCAAAGGATGGACAGCTTGACCGCAGGCTGCTGGCTTTGCAAGGGGAAATGCCTAGTCAGTCCGCTACGGTGAGGTTTCTTTGCCACAGGCAAGGAGGAATGACAGTTCTCAGTGAGTCTGCAGCCCCAGTTTCTGCCAACAGTTCTGCCAGTACATACAGGAGAATACAGTACATACAGGAGAATACAGCTTTCTGGGAAGAGTACCCCTTGAGGACACAATCTGCTCTCCTTGCCAGCTAAACTGATCAGTTCTTAATACATTTGTGCTTGGGTACTTCAGGCCAGCTTGTACTGAGCAGCTGCATGTACCGTGCATCTGCTTAGCACAGGTCGTGCTTGCAGAAGGGGAGGGACCTCATTGGGCATATAAAGCCACAGAATCCACCCTCCAGAGCAGCTGTATTCTCCCAGGGGAACTGATAGTCTGGAGATCAGTTGTTATACCTGGAGATCTCCAGGTCTCACCTGGAAGTTAGCAACCCTAATCTAGCACCAAGGGTTACAAACATGCTAATGGCCCTTTCTGAGTTCACAAAGAGACAAGAGAACAGCAGGCCCATAGCTACAGTGGGACATTTTGGGGCCTGCCCCCCCCCCCGACTTCTTGCCAAGGCTCCCTGACTTCCATTCAGACCCCAGGTCCTCCGGCTCTGTGGGCCACCCAGAGGACTCCCGATTCTCTGGGCCACCTGGAGGACTCCCCACTGCCACCCCTTCCCCAAGCGTGGTTCGCTTCCCTGCACAGGCAGGCAGAGTGTGAATGCTGCAAAAGAGAGTTTTTAAAATTGTTATTTTTTATTTTGTGATGTCAGTGCCCCCTGACTTATTTAAAGGCCCCCCAAATTACAAAATCCTGGCAACGGGCCTGGAGAGCAGTAGCCAAGGGCAACTCCTGAGAGGATGCCAAACTGGTTCAACAAATGACTTGGAGAAACACTTCCTTTCTACTCCAGGGCCAAGCTAGACTGCCCCAATAAAGGTACCTGCTTCTTACCGAATGATCCTGGAAGCCTATTCGCGTGTGGGAAGCTGTTGGTCCTCTTGTGCTGCTTCTTCCTTGGCTGCCTGACAGCTCGGGGGAGCCTGGCTGGGCTCTGGCTTGCCCGGAAGAATGTCACCACGAAGGGCTGCTTGGAGCGTGGCCCATGGCGACCCAAGAGGCCTGCCAATCCAGGATCGATGCTCTGCCCTACAAAATCCAAAAACCGAACCCTTTCCACTATGTTAATACTGCTGTGTGTCACATTAATGGGTGTGGCTGATCTGTCTGGGGGTCAGGGTCTAGGTAGGGTTGCCAGCTCCTGGCTGGTAAATTCCTGGATATTTGGAGTGGAGCCTGGGGATGGTGGGGTTTGGGGATAAGAGGGACCACAGCAGTGTATAATGTCACAGAGCCCACCTTCCAAAGCAGCCATTTTCTCCAAGGGAACCGATCTCTGTCATCTGAACATCAGTTGTAATTCCAGATCTCCAGGCCCCACCTGGAGGGTGGCAACATTAAGTGTTCCACTATTAAGGCCATGGATCCCCAAAGAGAAAGGACCAGATATTTTAATGTTTGTCTTCTATAAATGTACCAATTTAGCTCCCCCCCCCCCCCGCAGCTCTTCCCAGGACCAACCGCCTAACTGCAAAGAACTATGCGGGGGATGGATTGCAGCACCAAGTCAAATCTCAATTTGCTTCTCTATCAGAAAGCAAGTCTTGATATTCTACAGATTTCCGGTTTGAAATGTATCATATTGCAGCACACAAGGATATTTAACATGAATAAATGAATGAATGATGTTTATTTGCGGTCAAAGACCATTTATCAAAATAATACATGTTTGTTAAATACAAGCAAATTAGCTTTCAGCTCAAAAATAAAAACATAACCTTAAAATCATTAAAATGTTAAAAGGAGAAAAGTTTAACAGTCCATTATATCAAAATAATTATAAGATGTTTAAAACTAAACTACTTTTGAGTCATACAAAAGGTAAATGAGGATTCTACTTGATCTGCTTCTTATTGTGAAATTTTACCAGTTGCCAGCAGAATTCTGCTATTTGTCTGGAGATCTGCTGATTTCCCTCTATCAAAAGTCTCTCTAGATCAGCACTATCTGCATCAAGTGATGATCTATCCAAGAGGGGGGTAATAAGCTTATCCCTATAAACCTGATGAAAAGGACAGCGAAAGAACATGTGGAACATCGATTCCACTTCTCCCATAGAGCATGGGAAGCACCTGTCTTCATATGTTATCTTTCTATATTTTCCTTCTAAAACCTTAGAGGGAACAGCCGCACAAAAAGCCAGGGTAAGAGCTCTTCTATAGGGTGGCACATCCAGATAAGTCAGGTATTTAGCCATTTTCATTACATATCTGGAGTCATTATGGACCAGAAAAGAAGGAGCTCAATTTAAATCCCCTTGGCGCTCTAGATCACAAATCCTTTGTTTTATTATACTTCTCGTCTGTATGTTGTTTTGCGTCAATAAATCCTCAGGCGAGAGTCCCATCCTTATACTAATACCCAAGTTGCCCCCTCTGTGCGGATATCTATATCTGCACTTTGGGGGCACTTGGGGGGCAGGGGGAGGTTTGTGCACATGTGGGGCAGTCCCCACATGTGCACAAAAATAAAAAAAGTTAAAAAAAATTGGGGGGATGTTTAAATCCCCCCGAAAGTGCAAGAGCGTCTCCTGCGCGTGCGCAGGAGACGCTCTGCGAACGCTGCCACCGGCTGGGTGGGGGGGGAGGGGGGGGGGCCGGGCGGGGAGGAGAGGCCTCACCGCCGCCGCCTTCTCCCCGGAGCCA